TTCTTGGTGTGGTTGTGTTTGTGATTTTCGACTACTATGTTTTGGGCCAATTCTTGGGTTTGCAGAACTGGCTCACACATCCGGCCTTGATCTTCCCTCTCGCTCTGCTCTCCATTATTCCTCTGGCCTATTTTATTGGGCAAGCCGTTGCCTCGATCTCCGCTCAATCTTCTATGGGTTTAGGTGCTGCCATCAATGCTTTCTTCTCGACCATCGTGGAAGTATACCTCTACTGCGTCGCTTTGACTGAGGGCAAGGCTCGGCTTGTCGAGGGAAGCATCATCGGTAGTATCTTTGTCGGCATTCTGTTTCTCCCTGGTCTGTCCATGTGCTTCGGCGCACTCAAACGCAAGACCCAACGGTTCAATGTGAAATCAGCCGGTGTGACCTCGACGATGTTGTTGTTTGCAGTGATTGCTGCTTTTGGTCCCGCCCTCTTCTACCAGGTTTATGGCAGTGTAAGTTTCACCTTCCTTCGCAAACGAATCTAAACTGACCGGTGCATAGCATGAGCTGAACTGTCACTCGTGTGTCAGTTCCCTCGATCCAGAGACACGCGATTGCCGTCGCTGTTATTTCTCACAAACAGCGGCTGTCGATGACCAGTTCTTTCAGAGGGCGGTACAGCCATATGCATGGATCGCCGCTGTTTTCTTGTTCCTTTCATACGGCATCGGCCTATGGTTTACTCTCAGGACCCACGCTGCTCTTATCTGGGCATCAGAGATGGAAGAAAAGAAGAATCCCCAGGCCCCTGCCACCCAATCTGCGCAAGATTCGTTCTACGAACCACGGCACCTGCTGTTCCCAAATGCCCAACCCGAAGCATCCGGTGTCGCTTCTGGGCCCAAAGATTCTATCCGCGACTCTCAGTTGTATAAACGAATTCTAGGCCAGTCATTAAAGCATTTTGGCTTGGACGACAATGGCCCGGGCAATTGGGACGGAGTTGGAAGTGAAGCTACCACAGACATCAAAAGCAATTTCCCACACCTGGTGCCCCCCAATTCCAGCGGTGAGGACGGTTGTCCCGTGCCAAGGTTTGTCCGTAATATGACCAAAGAAGACAACGAGCGTCTAGTACGCCAGTTCACGGAAGTGGCAGCAACAGCAGCAACGGTGGCTGCTCGGGATGCGGCTCGAAGTCGCAAGCCCAATGTCCAACACCATCAAGCTTCTGTTCGTCAAGCTAGCCGCCCTGGTCCAGAACGATCACGAAATACAGCTGGAGAAGAGCTTGAAGATCTCGGGTTGGCTGTGGATCCCACTCATGCTAGCGGAGGACATGATGCACCCAATTGGAGCAAAGTTAAAAGCTCTGTCATTCTTCTCGGGGCAACTGTCCTCTATGCTGTGATTGCTGAGATTCTTGTCAACACAGTTGATGTTGTGCTAGAGAACGTGGATGTTGATGAGAAGTTCCTCGGCATTACTCTTTTCGCGTTGGTGCCAAACACAACGGAATTCCTGGTACGTTGGTTATTGAAGGCTCTTTCTTTGTCTGAGTCGAATTTGAATTTATATTGTTAACTAACACTCCCAAACAGAATGCCATATCATTTGCCATGAACGGGAACATTGCATTGTCTATGGAAATTGGGTCTGCCTACGCACTGCAGGTCTGTCTCTTGCAGATTCCTGCTGTGGTATTCTTCAGCGCTTTCTATGGCCGCTCGCTGGACGCATCCGAGCTTGTCAGCCACTCATTCAAGTAAGATCTCTCTCTCTCTCTCTCTTTTTTTTTTCCTTCCGTCTCTAGCTGAAGTGCTATGGCTAACAACATATTTGAACAGCCTGATATTCCCCCAGTGGGATATGATCACCGTTATTCTGTGCGTCTTCCTTCTCTCGCATGTATACGGCGAAGGAAAGAGCAACTATTTCAAGGGATCCATCCTTGTGCTCACTTATCTCGTCGTTCTGCTTGGTTTCCACATGTCGGGATATGTGAATATGGACAGCATGGGCGTGGATCGCTTTGATACTCTCAGCCATAGGCGGCATCAGTACTTCTGACAAGTTCTACACTGTCGGCCGAACAAGAGGCGGGGTGGCCTACTAGACAAAGTGCATATATTGACTGGTGATGGTGGCTGTTGTTGCACAAGGCATTCCTTGGCTTGTCCTAAGTAATGTTGCATAGCGAGCTTCCTTTTTTTTCTCTGGTTTTTCTGTTTATATGCTTGACGTTTATATGGAGAGTGTGACTTATCTTCTTTACTTTCCTGATGACCGATGACCTGAGCTTTATAGCTCAATGCATTAGGCATGGCTTTGCAATAATTACATGTATGACTTTGAGATTGTTACTTCATTCATACTTTTTATTCTGCGGTAATGACTGATACCAAGTAACCCGAACAGAATAATATGTGAACCTTGACCAATATTCCAGTACCCCTGTCCTTTTCTCTGTTTTTGCGGAGAGAAAATCGTCATGATCGTCACATCGAATTAGGTGGACTTCGACTTCCAGGCCCCCACGGCGTCATCCACCATCCCACGATATTTCTGTTGCTTGAAGCACTGTTCCAGAAAGACCTCGTACTTAACACCGAGCAATGCTTTCTCGTTCTTATCTTCTGTCGGCAACACCTTCTTGCCAGGCTTGCTCATCCGATCCATGATGTCCCATAGATCTTCAGTTTTGCCTTGGGAGTCAGCGCTGGCAGCCTTAGCGCCGAGCATAGCAGCACCGTGACATACCGCAGCATGAATGTACCGAGGAATCAGCACAGGCATGTCACAGGCAGTTGCAACGAGATTGACCAGAATGTCATTCTGGCATTGTGAGCCTGACATGAACACCGAGGTGATGCGGTGGCCTGCCTTGTTCATTGTCTCCACGATCTGCTTAGTTTGCAGCGCAATGAACTCCATGGTGGCATAGTAGTAAATGGCAAGACCATCCACAGATTTATCGCTGGTCAGTCCAAAGATGGATCCAGTCATGTTAGCATCCCCTATAGGCGATCGGTTCCCCCACAGGTCACCATAGAAGAAAAAGTGGCGTCCGAGATAAGATACACATGGTGCTCCTTGGCCATGTGCCATCTCTTTGAGATGCTCGTTCAGATATTCGTAGATGTTGGCATGGTATGACTCGGCAATCGAAGTAGCCTGGTTGAATGCAGGGTGGGTCTCAATTACGTGCTTCAGCAATTCTCCGGTAGCAGATTGCCCACCCTCGGCCATCCAATATCCGGGGAGAATGGTATCCCGATATGGACCCCAGACACCATCAACGAACACCGGGTCTGGTGACATGGCAAGGTGGCATGTCGAGGTTCCTGCGACAGCCGCGAGGCGAGAGAAGGCCTCTGACCTATCAAGTTTGGGGATATCTGCGCTAGATTGACCTGGGTCCAGATCGACCTTGGATCCGACGGTACCGATCCAGCCAGCGTAGGCGTCGATCACACCACTACCAATGGCGATACCACCTGGCAGGCCTAGTTCGGCTGCTGCCTTATCGCAGAGAGTGCCAACCAACTCACCGGCACTCAAGTAATCACCGTTCTGTGTGGCACCAGAAGTCAGTCAACTGCGTCATTGTCAATTAGGGAAAGGCTCACCACCCCGTCGACTCCGCCCATGCGCTTGAAGTTATCTTCAGTCAGGTCCCCCAGACCAATGTCCTGCAAGAAATCTTCTTGCCATCCCTTGACGCTCCCATCTACACCAACGGGTACGTATCCTTGCTTGCAGACCACGCTGCAGAAACTCCGCTTTTCGTTGCCCGTAGCAATGTGCGTAAGGGCATCCGCCAGATCATAGAACTTGCATTTGTCAAAGAGCTCCTTGGGCATGTGGTTCTTAAGCCAAAGAACTTTTGGGATCTCCATCTCAATGGACATCTTTCCGCCAACATAGCGCAGCAGGTTGTGGTTGGTCGCATTGATCTTCGCGGCTTCCTCCACTGGACGATGATCCAGCCACAAGATCACGTTGCGGTCCGAGTCGAAATTCGGGCCCGTTACCGAAATCGGCTCGTCAGTATCATTGGAGAAAACCGACAAGGAGCAGGTGGCGTCAAACCCGATACCTCGAACCGTGTCAGGGTTGATATTGTGCTGGCTAATAGCGCGCTGAACGGCGACACAAATGCAATGCCAGATATTGGAGGTAGATTGTTCCTAGAGGCTAGGTAAGACTGATTTGGCACCCAACTTGCTTGCGCTTTTACCCACATAGTAACCGTGCTCTGGTTGCCAAAGACCAATGTTTTCTGAGGCCAACCCCACAATATCACCTTTGGCGTCGATTATGCAAGCCCGAGCGCTACCTGTTCCGACATCAATGCCAATATAGTGGTCAAGATGAACTGCCAGATCCTCCCGAGGGTCACTGGATGCTTTCCGGGAGATCTGGTGCGAGGCACGACGGTAGGGCAGCGAGGCCATGTTGCCGTGGAGCTCTTTACTTCGATTTTTCTTTTGAATTGATAGCTGTGGAGCTATAGGTTGCTATTAACCATAAATTAGCGAGTCACAAAAAATTGGAATATACGCTAGTCGAAGCAGACTTACTGTTAATGTGTATACTGAGATTCAGGGATGTATTACAAGAGGAAAGGGGAACTGTGTGTAGAGGAGAATAAGGTATGACATGGATCTGCCCCAGCCCTGACGGAGCAGTGATAGCCGGTACCTTCGCAGTTTGTACTTTGACGGTACCTGAGTGTTCCGCTATTTGACTGCGATGACCGAGGTACTTTTCGTGTACCATATGCAAACAGAGTATACCTGCTTTCTATAATGTACATGCTCCGTTTTTGCAATACATATTTTATATTTTATATATCAATTGGTATAATTTTAAAACAGTCTAGATTTAGCAACCTTGGAAGTACCAGCTAATACATAACATTGAAGTAATGTACACATGTATGTATGTATTCATCGGTACATATGTATTGTATGTAATCGTGGGGAGCTCGGGAGCTCGGACTTTCTCCAGAACGTTGACCATCTCAGTCTCCTCTCCTAATTCTCATCGTCATGCGGTTCCTGCTCAGCATTCTTAGTGCTGTGTCGCTCCTAATTTCTGTCGCCAATGCCTCCCTCTCGACTGACATCCTATATTGGCCCTTGGGATCGCCACAACCGTCCGTCCTCGCGCGTGTCTCCTACGACCCAGCCTCATTGAAATCGGACGTGGTCTCATATCACCCCCCAAAGGATGACCAGACCGATAATCTAGTACGCGTCGGTCTCTACATTTCAACCCCCACGAACAAAAAGCAATGGGTCGGCAGTCTCGTGTCATTGGCCTCTTTAACGGCCAGTGAACAACAACCAACATTCCGCCTTCACCTCGGTCCGGCCAACGAAGTCTACACTGTCTCCCTATCTGCAACGTCTGCCAGCGCTGAAGGTTCAACATCTGGCCCTCGAATTGACCTCGTCTCGAACGAACCCGGGACGCAGCCTCACCTGAACAGGCCAGTGATTGTCGGGCCCGATGGTCAAAACCCAGAGCAACCCGAAGAAAAGTCTCTTTTACAAAAGTAGGTTGCAGATAGCCGTGTATCCTTTCTTATTTCTTTTGTGTGCTAACGTGCCAATCAATAATCTAGGTACTGGTGGGTTCTTCTGATCATCACTTTCATCAGCATGTCCGGGGGTGGCGGAGAAGGACAGTGAGACTTCTCATCATATTATATCGAAATAATAATTTGAACCATACTTTGCGGTCCCGTCACTCTCCTGAACAGGCCAGCTTGCGTATTTTCGGGGATATAGTTTCAACTACAAGTTCCAAGACATGGACCTATCCAGCTACGAGTCGATTTAACAACCACTTTTGGCTGGAATAAACCAAGTCTAATTCTTGGTATATTCTATATGGAATCTGTAGTTGTACCTGCAAGAACCTCATATGTAGTACCGGATTTTAGGTCGCGATTTTCCTTTTATAACGGCTTGGGCACTCCATAGTGAGCAGGGTACAGTCAGTGCAGATATACTTACCCACTTTCTAGCCTAGAAACAAATAGAATATGTTAACGTGATATAGATTATCTATTATCTGCTAACGACCAAAAATCTATCTACATATGTAGTATTACCTATGGGCCTGTTCTGTATTTCCTAGCAGTAGCCAACATGTAAGTGCTCAGTTGGATTTCGTTGAGATTGCGTACTCTGAAACTTTTGGATATTTTTGATCTCGGTCACACTTAACATACCTGGTGGAAGAAAGAAAGTAAAGTAAAGAAAAGGCAGAAAGATCCATATCCTACCTAGTTACCTCCCATGGAGATCACTAATGTATATGTAGTATATATAGATTATAGTAAGGCGGAGAACAACGACAAAACATCCAATGAACTTGAACTTCAAACCCGTGAATGTCCCTAAAACCGCTCATACCTTTTTCCTTTCAAAGAGAGGGAAAAAGAACCCAATGTCTTAACTTGGCCACTTTGTTCTTTCTGCCTGGTCACCAAATCAGTGAGTGCTACCTGAAGGCAACAAGAGGTCTGTGCGCGGGTTCACAAAGTCCTATAAATCTATGCTAAACCTCAATATTAGATCTGGGACATCAAAGATGCTACTTCAACTTCCCACAGAGCTGATACAGCTAGTCCTTCAGAACTGCGACACATCAGCCTACTTCCAGGCAGCCTTTTCAAGCCGCAGGCTTTATGAGGTCGCTTCCAGCAGCCGAGCAGTTATTGTTCATCAGCTACACAATACTCCTGGTTGGAACGACGGCATTGAAGTTCATCAGACTAGACATCTGTTTAGTGAGCTAATGAAACGGTCTTATGAACAATTAGATGGCGCAGAACATTACGCCATCCCCACCTATAAGTACCAAAACCGAGTGATTGACTACCATGCATCGACAATGGAGGCATCAGAAGACAGCGTCCGAGCACTGCTTGTCTTCAAAGGTCACAGCACTGTCCATCTGGTTGACATGAGTCATGGGGGTCAGACTGAGGTCCAATTGAAATCCCCAGGGCAGGATATTGGGGAGGTCGAGATCATCCAGACTGCCTTTGATGGACATGGCGGAGTCTACGTGCTGCACCGATTCAAACCATTCCTAGACCAAGAGCTGGATACAGACCACCCATTTGTTAAACACGCTCTAGAATCTCACCCCAACGGGAGTATTCACCTGGCCTACCATCGCTTGAATTCCAGGGAAAACACCATTCGAATGTATGACTTTCCCGAATGCCGAGATTATAGACCACTGGCTCTGTCTGTTTCCAACGACAAATTTGCAATATCATGGCAAAACATGCTCGACCCCTATGATCATGATGTCGTCCTTTATACCCAGTTCTACGACGAAGATGACGAAGATGACGAAGACGACGACGAAGACGACGATGAAGACGAAGACAACGATGAAGACGATAACTTGATGGAGGGCGTTATGGAAGAAGGGAAGGGAGATAATACCTGTAAAATTATTCGTTCGTTTCGTCATTCTGTCATATGAGAGCTGGTTTCTAACATCTCTAGATGCCGCTTTTGAGGCCTATGTTTTGACAAGCAGCAACGATCAAGACCAACATGCCCTTTTCTCTCGGAGAATAGGCCCTGTGATGAGGTTGGCTTTCAATGATCGAGGTCTTCAGTTGCTCTACCACTACCGAGCTCAAAACATCTACGGCGCCTTTCAGAGACTTGATCGCATTCCTGGCCCCCCAGGCGAGCCGAAGCCCCACGTTAATAAGAATGCATGCACCGTTCAGTTTTCGCCGTCTCTCTCGCTTCAATTCTCAATTGGAATACCATTCTTCGGTACCCATGAGCTCGGCGATATAACTCAGGGAGAACAGTGTCATTGGCAGTATCTCGCATTCGGAATTGCCACCCACCGTGTTGAGAAATGGACTGTGGCATGCCTCCTGAAGTCCGAATCATATACTGGTCCGCGATGTACCCATGTTTTGAACCTCGACCGCGGAAGGCGTTTCGACGACTGGCAGATCATGGCGCAACTGGGGGGATTCCGGGAAGTCCCAACCTCGCATGGATCTCCGGTGGCAACTTCGCGTCGCGGAACTCGTGTTGCTGTCGTTAACTGGAAAACCCTATATGTATGGGCATTGAACCCGTCGGAATTGATTAAAGACAATCACACCGGCTTTTATCCATCATCGTGGGAAACCTCTACGGGTGTCATCGAGTTGCGACCAGTTGTCCTCCAGTTAGAGGCTGTTTGCTCTCAATTGCGTTTCACTGAGAAGGAAGATGAGTTGGTTGCGATTACTGATCGTGGTGTGATGTTCCTGGATATCGGTTATAGTGGGAAAAGCAAGCAGCCCGTCAAGAGCCAGGGACATGATCATAGTATATAAGTTTGAGGAGCTTGGAAAAATTGGGAGCTTTACTAAACTCCTGTCGCTCAGAATGTGGCAGTCAGGCTGCCCAACACCAAGGACGCGTCTGTGGTTATGAGCCTTCTTCGAAGCAGGGGATTGTAACTGAAAAGGAGCAACTTTTGAATCTCATCAAACCAGGACGCTAACATTGTCTTATGCAAAACTACGCAATAAGACCCGAGATTAGCGCTGTCCATTTTTCCCTATCCACAAAGCAAACCCGAAACACCGGAAAATGCAGAACCACTAGCTGTATGACATTGTACATAGATCAAAAGAAAACCATGGCCCTGAGAATAATGCAAGGCCAGAAAGGGGTATCCCAGGGTCGTCATCATAGCAAGAGAAAAGAAAAAGTAAAGAAGAGCCTCGTCCAAGGAGGTGTTCTAGTCCATCTCAGAAGCGAGCCATTCAAGCACGCTCTCATAGCAGAGTGCATATTGACTCAGGTTTTGTACCATGCTCGGTCTTTGTCTTCGGAAATCCTCAACTGTCTTCGCAATTAGATCAAGATTGGAATCTCCCATCCATTCGGAAGAACCGCTGGGGTTTTGATCCAGGCCTCCTCCACCGGCAGCCTGCGCACGTTGCCGTTTCAACATGTCCAAGACACTATCGACGGTGCAGAAGGTCCCCGTACGCCCACATCCGGCACTGCAATGCACCAGTACTGGCCGCTGACCCTTCGGTTCTGCTTGCTCCCTACTAAAGCTGGAGTTGCTGGTGGCACGAATGACCTTGTTACACTGCTCAATCAGATGGAGAAGATGAGTGGGCTGTGACGTTGTCCCAAAGTCGGGCCAGTAAGGATATTGGATCTGGGTGATATCCCGAAGTGGCTCGAAGGGGAATGACGTATGGCAGATACTGAAGTTTCGCACGGTGATGACTGGATTCTCGTTTGTGCCATCATGTCGGTCGGTCGCCTTAGGGCTGCCAGCCGTGGGATCGATAGGTCCGCCCTTAGATTCGATATTGATGTGCTTTTCCGAATAGGCCTTTACCTCGAACGGTCCATATTTCCCAGACTCCCAGTATCGGTGGCATTTTATCTGTCCTCGCTCAACCTCTGCGGTGAGGGAAACGAGAAGTCTAACGTCTTGCTCCCACACAACGCGCCAAAAGTCCTGCATATTGTGAGTAACATAACATCAAGCATGGCGAGGGGCTGTCACGCACATCAAATGTATCAGGAACGGGAGCCTGAGTGGCGATATATTTCCGATTGGTAAGTTCAGCGGAAATATGGTTCGCGTTCACATAATCACAGGCCCCAGATGGAATCCCCTCGAGTCGGACACGGGAATGATCGAATGGGTAAATATCATTGTAACGATTCTTCGTGCCTTTTTCTATCCCCGCAACGCGATATTTCTTGGGGCTACCATTGGTGTCAGCCGAAGGTCCTTCATATGTTAAAGCCTGTTTCATGCGTTCCAATTCTGTTTTCTCCAAAGCCAGGAACTTGCTCGAGATAATGTGCCCTTGGTCCTTGGTATCGGAAGCGCCCCGCAACCAGGAAGGGAGTTGCTGTCGCTTCGCTTCGGTCAATTGATCGGGCTGTTTCAGAGGAATTTGGCCGACACCTCCGAGGAGATCCATGTTCTGTCGAATATTCCCAAAGAATGGATTGACGGCAGAGGATGATTCTGGCAAGGCGCAACCACCCACGACAGGAGCAACGGATTGTAGATTGATTCTCATGGCAGAGGGACGTTTAGAGGATGGTTCGGTTGTCTGCGTTTGTGGATGCTGAATCAAATGTGGAAACCGCCCCGAGAAACCTCGAAATCCGTTTTGTAAGATCAATCCATCTCCTTTCCAGTCTTCAGCCTGGAATTTATTGAGAAGGTTCAGAAGAGGTGCTGCATCCTTCAAATCGGCCGCGGCAGAATCGTATACGATGATCACGTCACTCTTTCTCCAACGAGCGAAACTCCGTTTGTCGGCGTCATCTGTGAAAGTGCCCTCTAATTTCTGGGTATCAAATGATCGACGCTTAAGTAGGGTAGTGGGGATGCATAAATTGAGTGATCCTTTGATATTGGCCTGTCTGAAATGAGCAAATGGGCGAACATCGAATAGCATGATGTTTGACTGAGATGATTCAAGGAGTTCGGCGCAGCGTTCGGCTGATACCCAGGGAAATGAAGCGGGGGTGGCTCCTGAAGAAGCAATGTTAGTATCTTATTAATTTGTCGAAGATGGACGGTCATACCTTGTGGAGTGGGCGCTAAGGTCTTGCCGGCCGGAAGCCTCAGTTCGTTGGGTTGCGCAAATGAAAAATTTCCCAGCGAATGTGAAGGTGAGGGATTTGACCATGACGTCGTCTGGGGAGAGAAAGATCCATGCAATGCTGATTCTCGGCGTATGCGGCTGGTTTCAGTCTCAGTTTTCAGTAGATCCTTCAATCCTGCTGATACTGATTCTTGGGAAAACATCGGTAGTTTTGGACTCGGCAGAGGTTGTGTGTGGGGCAATGTACCCCAGTTCTTTTGCATGGATAGCCCTGGGTTGGAGGTCTGTTGATTGTTGGGGCTTTGCACAGCCATGCCAAAATAATTGGGACTTGATCTTTCTGTAAAACTCGCGCTAGACATCATGCCCGTGGTTGATGGGGACATGGTGGGCTGGAAGGACTGTGTGATACCACCATCGTGATGACCACCTTGAGCACTTTGTACCCAAGGTGAGGAGGGTGAGCGTCCTGGGCCTGTCATGTTGGCCTTCCACGACTCCAGTTCCTGGTCTGTCGAAACACGGTCAGCTCAAATCTCCCTTGGCAATGACACCCGCAGTTGTGTGGCAGATAATTACAAACGGCTTCTCAAGGATCAGACTGACAGGTGCTCCCAAGCTCCGGACCAAGATATCAGGGTCTTCGAAGACCTAGAACCGTGGCAGAATCGCTGGTCATAAATGGCATCCAATACGCGAAGGTGAAATCGAGTGTCTCAAATAAGAGTTGAAGGGAAACGTAAGCAAAACTTCAGATGTAAGGACCTCGAGATATACGCAACTGACGTAGCGAGATACAAAGAGGGGCAACAAGAAGCGAATAGACTGGGGTCCAGCCAAAGGGGAAAACCAGCCAATGGAACAAAAAATGTCAAATAGTGGGGGGGGATGAACAGGTCTGATATCAGAGAGAGGGCTTCTGTGTTATTGCATGATTAATAATCTGGAACTAGCCCTGACTTGAGAGAAAATGGGTGAAGAAGAAATTTGGGGGCTTCGAGAAGAAAGTTATGACGTTGTTGTGTGGGGGATCACGGGTTCACCAAGTTTCTGACGTAGTCGGTGGATTAGTATATTTTGTTAGAACAAATTTATTTTTATATACCTAGGTATATGTAGATATATAAAGAGACTGTGTGTATACGTATATTCCAGGGAAACAATAGATATATATTGTATACGTGGATATAAAAGGATACATAGAAGCACTAAAAATACTAAGAACCCATCTAGAAGCCCGGTAGGCTGAGCCGGCTCCGGGGCTCTCCCTACCTACTTATATAGCTGAGTAAGCGGTCAACGAACATCCTCCACTTCTATTTACGGATTTGAGATGGGTCAATATATATACACACATATATATATATATACTATGTACCTAAGATTGAATTTATGTTCGGCTTGTCTTTAGCTTGGTCAATATTAACAATGACCTCACCTCAGGTCCTGGTTAGTCGCGAGTCTCCAAGGGACCAACCGTAAGAGTGGTTCCACTCATGCAGGTTTCAGGTCAATATGACAAGTGATAAGATGAGGCAACAGACTCGAGAGGGAATCCTTCCCCCAATTTCACAGTCAATGGCCCGGCATATAAGATCTGGGAACCGGAAATGTATTGTATGTTGTATACAACTTTCGAGAGGCCGAAGAAAGTGAGCGAGACCGATTCCAATGGCTACCTACATAAGTAGGGATATTGGTGCATAGGACACGTTGTATGCGAAGTTCAGCCAGATAATTGAGTGGCTGCCGCCCCCTGATCTCCTTTATCTCCACACAGCAATGTACGGTGATGTACCCCTAGCAACAAGCTCATATGCTAGGTGAGATCATGAGGGAAGCGTGTTTTCGTCACGTTCGAGGATGCCGGAGCACTTGTGTAGTTGGATTCAAAGTGTTAAAGCCTTCCATCCGGTTCACCTTTGAATCGCTCTACTCGCTTCTGCTCCCATTGATCGAGATCTTTGGCCATGAGTCTCTGTAAGCGTGCACAATAATCAGCATTCAGTTCAATTGCCAGGCAATAAAATCAGGACAAAGTAAGCAATACATACGTAGTATTCTTCCTTCTCGTCGCCTATAATCCTCCTCCGCGGGTTGCGTTTGATTCCCTCCTCCCCGTCAGGACCCTTGAGTCCGAGGTCAAATGCTTCGTCTTGACTGAGCTGCTTGACTTTGCGGTCATACCGCTCATACCGCAAGGCAGCGGCGGGTGTCAAAGCAAATGACCCGGCGACAATAACGGCCATGAATGGGAGTCCGAAGAGAATGAAAGGGTGTCGAGCCAGTCGCGCCCGATAGAATGCGCCGAGCCGTTCACCGAGGGACGATGATTCCGTAGCCGCCCGACGAAAGGTTTTGGATTGGAACACAGGCATATTTGCAAATCAATTTATTGAACGCTATTATTGAGCGAAGGACTGGGAGGAGAGGTTCATTAGGTTCATTGGGACAATGGGTTTGGGTCATTGAAAATAAAGCCCTGGAGGAACAATCGGATTTCGGTCAGTCGGTTAATAGATGATCCGGAATACCGGGTTGAATTGTTTAGACGGAGCTTCCTAGTCATTCTCTTCAATTGCCTATTGAGGTCCATTGACTCCTAATCGCTGGCCTTTTTTTTTGCCGACATAAAGCAGAGCTCTGTGAAGCTCCGTTCTTTGCTATCCAGAGCCCAAGAAAATCCACTCCTTGTGCCGCTACAGAGCTCTAGGTGTACGCAATCCAGTTTTCTTGCCCTTTGATCAGCATCCTTTTGCTCAGTCGCCAGCTCAAAGTGAAACTAATTCAGAGAATAGTTTTGCTGTAATCGTACTTTGCATTTCTTTTTCTCAAAGCTTTCGAACCTACCAGCCCTCCATGGCTTCCAACACCGGCTCTCTCTTCGGAGGGGGTGGTCTTGGAGCCTCGACAACCCCACAGTCGAACAGTCTCTTTGGCGCAAACAATTCGACGGCAAGCCCTTTCGCAAATTTTTCTTCTACAGGGGCACAAGGTGCGCAAGGCGCGCAAACATCGTCTCTGTTCGGAGGTCAATCTCAGGCCCAGCAACAGCCTGCTCAAGCCCCGACCTTGGGCCAGACGCAGCAAGCCAGCAACCCGCAGACCCAGGGACAACCTGCAAGTCAGTCAACACAGCCTGCATTTTTCAACAGCCTATTGGAGCGTGGGAAAAAGCGACCATTGTCATCGGTCATTCAAAACAACAACTTTGAAGATGTGCCTAGTCTCCAGTTAGGCCTGGATGACATTCGAAGGAAGGCGCGAGAGCTAGGCTCCGCAGGACAAAAAGGACACCCCAAGCGGCAAGAACAGCAAGGCGTGAGTTTCGTCTTTATCATCTTGTTTCGCTTGTTTAGTTATTGGGCTTGGCTAACCTTGCAATATGTTATCAATAGTCATTATCTTCTTGCAGCTTCCGGCATATCCCCGGACAAGCATTGCGAGACCTCAAGTCGATGGACCCCCAGGCATCTCTAGCAACCCCAGCGAGGGAACTGGATCACTTTGACCCAGACAACCAACGATTTTTGCGGAATATCCAGCAACGTGGCCGACAAGTCATGATCGCAGAGGGTCTCACCAGAGCTCAGCGGGACTTTGATGCTTTTCTGGAGGAGAAGGTGGACATGGACTGGGAAGACCAACGTCAAAAAATATTCCACCACTTCGGGCTGTCCCAGAAGGATGCCGCCGGCGCTGGAGGACTGAAATCTACCACCAGGGGTGCCTTTGGACGGTCAGCAAGACAGTCCAAGCAAACTGGAGCTGCTCCAGCCAACGGACCCTCAACTGCATCCCGACGAAGCGTATTTGGGCGTTCTGGTCTCGAGAAGTCGGTGATTGGCACACCTGGGGCCGGCTTGGCAAGCCGTCAAATATTTGAAGACCCAGCAGAGCGAAATGAGGGAACTGCGGCTCAGTCGCCTGATCTCAGGTTCCAACGCGAAAAGATGGGACACTACGCTGAGAAGGTTCAACAGTTGAACCTCGCCAGGCTTCAAGGAAAATGCTATCCCATACTCGACGAGTTTTCGTATGTTGAAGTGCAAGCCGGTGGTGATGTAAGTCCTCAAGACCTCCCCCAACATACCTAGGTAGATGTTCGTCCAGCTAATCATTCTTCAGGTACCTCGGCAACTCTTCAACGCATACCAAGCCTTGATAAGTATCGTCCACGAGAAGCCAAATATCATGAACCCATCGGAGCCCGGAGCAGTGAAGGAGCGACAGTACGCGGAAGATTACCTTGAAGAATCCTCCAAATCTCTCAAAGCAATCGAACTCAAGAAACAGATCCTTGAAGGCTCTAGGAGTTTCCTCGAGAGCACATTCTTCGACGAAGTGGAAACTGCTATTGCCAAAAACCCCGGGGAAGCACAATTGGGAGGAATTCCAACTGTGATCAACAAGATTCGCGCCTATATCCGTCTTCAAGCCGCGAGGAAGGATCTAGCACCTGACGGCACCGAGCTCCAAATGGTGAACCAAGACTACTGCTGGATTCTCATCTTCTACCTCCTTCGGTGTGGTTTCGTGACTGAAGCAGCTGAATACGTGAGTCGGGATAGCGGGTTCCGGTCTTTAGATCACAAATTTGTGACCTACATGACAACCTACGCGCAGAGCAGGAGACTTCCCCGGGACTTGCAGCAAAAAATCAACGGCGAGTTTCAGCAACGCTCACGGAACGCACCTGAAAATACGGTCGATCCTTATCGAATGGCATGCTACAAGATCATTGGCCGCTGTGATCTCTCGCGTCGTCGCTTGGATGGTGTGAAGCAGACCGTCGAGGACTGGATGTGGCTACAGTTCAGCCTTGCAAGAGAGGACGATCGCGCCGAAGAGGTTGCAGGTGATGTTTTCGGCCTGGAGGATATTCAGACCGACATTCAAGAGATTGGCCAAAGAGTCTTCACTAAGGGCAACGAGGGACCTGGTGGCTATGGAACTTACTTCCTGCTGCAGATATTGGGAGGAATGTTTGAGCAGGCTGTGCATTATCTCGGCACCTATGCCCCAGTCACTGCTGTTCATTTCGCCATCGCCCTGTCTTATTATGGCCTTTTGCGCGTGTCCGACTTTTACACCTCTGGTGAAGAAATTCGTAAGCTTATCTTCTGCCATGGTATTCTGATATTGCTAACCTTAAACGTTCGCGTTTTACGCAGTGTCCTTTACAGTCAAGCAATATCCCCAGATCAATTTCGGATATCTCTTGACCCAATACACACGAGAATTCCGCACTGGATTTGTTGAAGCTGCCATCGATTACTTCACGCTAATCTGCCTCAACGCAGATCTTCCAGGTGCTCTGGGCAAGTCCCAAGCGTCAGTTTGCCATGAGGCCTTGCGAGAGTTCATTCTAGAAACCAGAGACTTCGCCAAATTACTTGGCGATATTCGGGCGGATGGTACTCGCCTCAAGGGAGCCATTGAGCAACGTCTCGATTTGATCAAATTGGTCGACCAGCAGGAATTCTTGAAGACTATTACGGTTCAAGCTGCTGCCGTCGCGGATGATAAGGGGTTGATCGCGGATGCCGTGCTTCTGTACCACTTGGCAGAGAACTATGACCGTGTCATCGACATCATCAACCGTGCATTGTCAGATGCGATCGCGGTTGAGCTAGGCGGTGCCATGCCGAAACTGCAGCCCCTACGCCCACGGGTCGACCAAAATCAAGATAGTCAGCCAGAGGCAGTGGAAGCCGGAAGCAGCCTCAGTTTGACTGCCGTGGATGACCCAGGCGTGCTTGCCAAGAACATGATCAGTCTTTACGATTCGGACATAATGTATTATGGACAAATCCGACAAGTCAACCGTGATGCCTGTGGGTTGCTGCTGCGTATGATGGAAGCAAAGACACAGGTTGAAGCCGGCAGATGGGCGCCAGCTCTTGATGTAAGTGTCTCCAGCCCATGGTTTTATTTTATGATTGAATTACTAATTAATGTAACAGGCTATCAACGCTTTGAATATTCTCCCCTTGCAAGCTCAGGGCTCCGTGTCGTATATTCGAAGCACAGCCCAAGCCTTCTCGTCTTTGCCACCCATCATTTCACGCAATGTCGGGCCTGTCATCATGTGGAGCATCACATGTATTGGCTATGAACGCCAAAAGCGTACCTTCGGGATGTATGACAGTGAAGTGCGCCAGGGATTGGCAGATACTTTGCTTGTCATGGCCAAGGATCTCATGGTCTTCTCGGGAATGGTCAAGTACAAGTTGCCGCCACGAGTCTATGAGACTCTGGCTCGTGCCGGGGCGGACATCGGGGCATATTAGATGTGATTCTTCTGAGATACTGAGATACTGAGATACTTTTTTTTTGTTTAACGGTCTCTGATAATACAATTGAAGAGAATGCAACGATCAATCTTCCGGATAAATATTTTTTTGATACCGAATCTAGTGCAATCTGTGGATTAGGTTCACCTGTAGTAGCTCCGATTGATAATTTGTATGCTACATACAACTACGTACACCCATGGATATATACATGTATGCACCTAAGTACATGCCTGTATATCCGTGGACCTCAGAACGTGGGTAACATGACCGGGCCTTCATGCTTCCGCCCCACTAAGCTCTTTCCGAGGCTCCTTCTCCGACACTTTGCTCTGTATCGTATATCTTCTATCTGGGGCTACTCCCCAGTGACATGGCCATTTCACTGCCGTAGGTGGGAATACGGAGCTATACCTGTATTCTGCCACGCTTCCCCAGGATGGACTATGCCTCCAACGCGTCCGTCTCGAGCTTAGAGGCTTCTGGCAGCGGGGTGGGATCCCCGCACAATGTTCCTGTGCAAGCACAAGACGTTTCGGGAACAGAAGATATCGAACGTGCGTGCGATACACGAGATGCGATGAACGAAGACTTGTCCGAAATCGCAAGCCCGATCAATTTATCCAGTGCCCTTGATAAACAAGCATTACACGGGAACGAAAACGAGTCAACACAGCACCGAGCGATCATTAGAGACGCTTACAGCAGCAGCGCATCAACGAGTCAAGGCACAAAGGCTACCCCGAGCCTTTTCAACAATCCCACCGAACCTGGCGCGCATACGCAAGGTCCTGTTCGAGTGCAAGGACCCGATAGAGATCAGTCTCGAAGAATTTGAAACATATTGGCCTTTTATTGACAACGTATGGGTCAAACAAAGATCAAATGCGAGCAAAGAGGGCCATTGCACCACCGACTATTACATGTGCCGTTTACGGCGTCCAACACACCGCACATCTGAAACTCGGCCCTTGCCAGAGGGCAAACGCCCTCGTAAAAAGCGAGTCCGAGAGGGAGGCATCTGTAACTTTCAAATCAAGGTTGTCCGGTTCGAAGGTGCATACTCGACCGTCACTATCGCG